CCTGAGCTGAAAGCAAGAGTCAGATGCTTAAGTGACTGAGACACCCAGGCACCCCTCCATTTCCTTTTTTCTTTTTTTTTTTTTTAGTGTTTATTTATTTACTTTGAGAGAGAGGAAGAGAGCATCAGTGAGCAGGGGATGGGACAGAGAGAGAGAGAATCCCAAGCAGGCCCTGTGGTGTCAACGCAGACCCTGATGTAGGGCTCGAAGTCACGAACTGTGGGATCAAGAGCCGGATGTTTCATCAAATGAGGCACCTGGGCACTAGGGAAATGTTCTAGTTCGTAACATGGGTGGTGGGCTTGACTGTTCATGTTACCATGTCTTATAACTTAGATATGTTCTATGTACGACACATATGCGTTGCATATAATTTTATCATGCAGCATGTGATATGTACAAAAGAGTATAAGAACATAAATAACGTAATTTAATATATTTAAACCAATGTAAAAAAACGGTTTTTTAAACCGACCTGAAAGTCCCTTGGAGCTGGAAGAGAGCTGTGTTCTAAGGGTCACACTTAGGAAGAGAGCCTGGTGGCTGTCCTGTCCCCTGTCTCAGTTCCCCATGAGTTTTTGCACTTGGTTCTCATTGCCCCCACGCCCAGCCCCCAGACTATCTGTTCCAGCTCCTCTGAGGTCCCAGGAGGCCACAAGCCCCTCTCCTTCCAGTCGTCTGAGCATGACCAGGGCAGGGTAGCAATTTCCAAAAGCTGTTCTACAAAGCGAGGGTGAATGGGAAAGATATAAGCACAGAAAGACAAGCAGAAATTGGTGTGATGTGCTGGCCCTTGGCTGGGGCTGTCTGCTCTCAGACCCATCACACCCTCTGCCCTTCCTGCCTTCCCTCGCTCACGTTCATCCCCCAGCAGGACTACGTTACAGGGGCTTCTCCATGCGCTTGCATGCATCCAGGCGTCGTTCCTGCTGTTCTTCTGCCCAGGATGCCCTCTCCACCTTTCTGCACCCCATCATCTCTTATTCACCCTTCACCACGCAGCTCAGACCCACTTTCCCATAAAGGCTTCCTGGACCTTCACACCGGGCAGAGAACCCCCCACCACGGGGCTTATCACCAGCCCTCATGTGAGCAAGCCCTCCACGAAGGGGCAAATATTCCACCGTGGTGCCCATGCCCCTTGAATTGGCCCACATCCTGGCACAAAGCAAAATGCTCAGTCATTGCAGGGTTGAGATGGGCTAAAAGTAATCAAAGTTCCAAAGGTCAGATTTCTGATCCAAAGATCTCAAGGAGAAAATAAGACTTTTCTGAGCCTCCAACTTCTTCACCCTGAAATTACCTTGATCCAGCTCCAAAGGGCTAGGACTCCTTTGCACACACACCTTGCTTGATTCCCTTACCCAACTACACCCCGTTCATAGTGAAATCATTCCTCACAGTCCTCTTCTCTGTCTGGTGCATCTTGGGCCATTCCTGAACCTAGTATAAACACCAAAGTTCAACCCCAAGGCCCCTTGAATCCTTCATCTCCTTTCTGGCTTCCAATCTGAGGGATGAGTCCTTCTGGCTGACAGGAAAGACAAGATAATAAAAGATCTGGACCCTCAAGCCTGAATTGAGAATGCTGCCTCCTCTGGAGCTTTATCACTACCAATATCACACTATTTTAACCATCGTGTGTCAGGCTATGGTTCAAAGCATGCTGGGAACACAGCCACAGAGCAAGTGAGGCAGAGGAGGAACCCTCAGGAAAGTGAGATGTGGGGTGGGAAATCTGGCCTCCTCCAGGCACTGGCCCCAAAGCACGGTGTCAGTAGGATATGCCTGCTAAAGCTTAGCTCACACGGTAGCCTGAACCTAAGAGACCTGACCCAAAGGGGTGATAGTCACACACTTGAAAGCAAAGTGGGCAACCTGAGTGGTTCTAATTGCATCTCTGTCTGGCCAGACTGAGAGCTGCTGGAAGTTAAGGAAGTGCCAGAGCCTTGGGAAGAGGTGCAGAGAATGTCAAGCAGGACACGTGTGAGCACCGTGAGAACAGGGATGGGTGGGCAGAAGAGGTGGGATGAGGAAGGGGATGGGGAGTTTCCTGCAGAAAAGGCGAAATGTTCTGGCCAAAGTGCTACAGGAGCACCAGGGATCCGGACAGGGTTGGAGAGGAGACTGTGAGCACGTGGCACCTTGACTAGGCCAATAGATCTGGACACATAAGCCTCCTGAGGCCTAGCAGGGGCTGTTGCCTCTTGAGGAACGCACGGGGTCAGGCTGGGCACTCGGGTTGAGGGGTGGGGAGTAAACAAGGCAAGAATGCTCAGTAACAGGTGCCTGTATACCGTCAGTGTCAGGAGCTTCCTAAGTGGAGGCTCCAGAGGCGGCCTGCCTTGTGGTTTACCCCGTATGTGTGCAAGAGGGTGTGCGTAGAGTTTCACACACACAAAAGTAGAGAAAACAATTTAATGAGCCTCCTGCATACTTCCCCAACTTCAGCAATTATCAGTTGATGGTCAATCTTGTTTCCTGCAACACCTCCACCCATTGCCCTTTGCCTTGGATTTTTTAAAAAAAATTTTTTTTATTTTTAAGTGTTTATTTTTGAGTGGGGAGGGACAGAAAGAAGGGAAGAGAGCAGGCTCTGTGCTGACACCAGGGAGCCCGATGTGGGGATAGAGCTCACAAAGAATGAGATCATGATCTGGACTGAAGTCTGATCCTTAACTGACTAAGCCACCCAGGTGCCCCTGCCCCAGATTTTTTAAAGCAAATCTCAGACAGTCCACTATTTTGTATAAGTTTCAGTATGTAAATCTAAATGAACTCCCCATAAATTTAACCCCAACAACATCATCAAATCCCCAAATTCCTTAATATAAATTACTTCGAATTATCCAATATCCAGTCAGGATTCACATATCCTAGATGGTCCTCTGTAGGTCTTTCCTTTTATCTTTCCAATGTAAACTGGATCTAAACAATGTCCTGTTATCTGTTAAAATACCTCCCAACTCTCTTTTAATTTTTAGGTTTCTCCTTTTTTTTTTTCTTAAAATCCTTTTATTGCTGCTACTTGATGTTAAAACAAGGTCCTGTGTCTTAGAGTCCCCACATTCTTGGTTTTGCTGATGGCATCCCTGTGGTGTCATTTGACTTGTTCCTCTGTTCCCAATATTTCTTATAAATTGGTAGATTTATAAGAAAAATCGAAATTCATGTTGATTCTTCTGGTTGATTACCTCACAGGGGGCAATGCGCTCTTTCGTCATTAGGAGACTAATGTCTGGTTGTCCCTTTATTATCATGTTTGGCAGACTGTGAGATCCTAAATTCTGTCATTCCTTCTGCACTTATATAAGCCAGAATATTTCTATAAAGAGAAATCTCCATCAGTTATGTGATTACCCTCAACTACAGCTCATATAGGAGAAGTGGGATATGTGTTTGATTCCTCCTCCTTCCTTAACCAGTTTTCAAAATAATGAATCTGACTCCTAGAAACTTTTTTTTAAAGAAAGAGCAAAAGAACAGAGATGGGGAGGAGAGGGAGAGAGAGAATCCCAAGCAAGCTCCACACTGTCAGTGCAGAGCTCAACACAGGACTAGAACCCATGAACTGTGGGATCATGACCTGAACCGAAATCAAGAGTTGGACACATAACTGATTGAACCAGCCAGGCACCGCTGACCCCTAGAAACTTCTAAAGGCTACCAATAAACCTTCATTTTTTTTACTATTTATAAATTTATTAATATAAACATATTTGATGTTTCAAGGATGGGCTATTTATAGGTTTTTCAGGGTCTGATAAAGATGGGTCCTTTGGTGCAGACACGTTGATTAGATTGGACAACTTGACATGTCATAGTAGAGGACATGGTAAGGGGAGGGTTTGAAGTGAGTCGTGAAGGGTACAGTTGTGTGATAACTCAGTTGACTGATCTGTGAGTCAGAGGAAAAGCTGTTATTCTGACGAGAACTAGTTGGGTAGTTGGTCCATGGCTCCAATAAATGGATTTTTGGGAAATTCCTAAAACAAACGATACAAATATTTGGAATATTTATATATGGCTTGAGATGCACCCTCACAATCTGAAGTTTCTTTCTTTCAACCTTGGAATTTGCCTCCATTAGGTCTTCAGATATTTCCTCCTCTCCTTTTTTATATCACTCCTTTTCCTGTTCTAGTTCTATCCCTGATATTCATTAGCAAATTTTAAAATAAGCTGCTTTATTTCCTTTTATTAACCGTTTCCGGCCATCGCTGGAGACTTGGTGAAACCGCTCTTCTCATTAATCAATCCTCTTCAGCGGCATCGATGCTACGAGATCCCTCCCACGTTACTATTAATAAATAGCATCAGTGAAGTCATTCCAATTATTATATTTGTCATGCTTAATATTTCTCTGCTTTAGTTTCATGCAGGTTTTTTCCTGAGTCGTATCGCTCTTGCCATCCCTCACGTGGTGTTTGTAGAGAACCACCTTGACAGCGCCTGCCTGAGTGCCTGGGTTCAACTCCTAGGTCTACAGCTTAGAGCCGTGTCTCACTGAGCACGCCCCGTCACCGCTTTCCCGTGCCTCGGTTTCCCTCGCTGCAGATCAGGGGTGACAATGATTTCGGCCTTGTGGGTGATTTAATGATGCCGCTAAGGCCGCTGGAACAGAATCCGGCGCTGGGTAAGTGTCCGCTACGTCTAACGCAGTACTACCCCGTTCCGCACCCCCTCGGGCGGGGGGTTGAGACTTTCCACTTCTTGCTCTTTGCAGGGGCGCTAACTGGGACGCGCGCAGGATCGCTGCTGAGCCTGGGCCTGCGCTGGAGCGGCGTGGACTCGGCGCTTCTGCCGACGAGGCCAGAGGCCTGGGAACAAGGCGGCGCTCCCGCGGCCAGGTGACTGACCGGGCGGGCCCGGAGCCGCTCAGGTGGCGCCGAGGGCCAAGGGCGAGGCTCTCGGAGGCGGCCGCGGGGAGGCGCTGCGCCCCTTCCGGCCGCTGGGCCTTCTCGGCCGCGGGCGCCTCGTGGGCTCGCAGTCTTCGGCCGGGCCGCGGAGCGCAGGATGCAGTGCCCCGGCGCCCAGGACCCGGTGAGTAACCGCGCCGCGCCAAAAGGCCCCGCGGGAAGGCTAGGGGCCCCAGGGGAAGGGTCGGGCGGCTCCCAGCACCTGCCTCGCCGGACGCTTCCGCCTTCCCGGTCCTCCAGGAGAGAGCCCATGCCCGCCCCGCGCCGCGTCCTGGGGACACCTGCGGGGAGGCTCTAGGACCCCAGTCATGTGCTCGCGCGGGGGGAGGCGCGGGAGAGGCTGGCTGCCGAGCACACGCTTAGGGCCGCTTGCAGGTGCACCTCCAGGTAAGGGGCTGGCGACTGGGACCGTATGCTTTGCACGGAGCAGGTGTTTCAGAGTGTCGGGTGACAGCTCCAGGAAGCCACGTTAAAAACATAAAAGAGAAAGGAAGGAAGAAAGGAAGTTACTTTGAGCAATCTTCAGTACATTTGGATTCAGTTTCCAAGTTATGACCCATATGGTTTTTTATCCCCTTTTCCTCAACTCCCCAACTCGCCCTGCCCCCCCCTTTTTTTTGTCTGGAAGGTTTCTGCAGAGAGAACCCCCCGGAAAAGAGAGTGGAGACCTCAGATTTATAGGAAGTGCACAGATACGACATGGTTATTCCTGTTCTTTCTCTTTTGGACTGGTTTGGTAAGTATAGGGGCCCAGCAGGGAAGGGACCACAGTGTGTGTCCCGAAATAAGTGTACCCAAATGTAAATCCTAGGCCTGGTACCTTCCCTGGGGAAGCCTAAGGCTCCAGGTGGTACCAGGTTAAAGCTTGTGCTACAATGAGAGACATCTGCCATTACCACCCAATAAGCATCTGTCCTGGGGAATTCCGATCAGGTGTTTCTTAACGCCCTAGGCTGGCTAATTTGGAGAGGCTGTCTTATTACCAAAGGCCGCAATCTAATGGAAGACTCCATTAGGAAATGAGAATCACTTTTAAGGATTGTTACTTAATAGGCCAGCATGTGATCCCTTATTATCTGAGCTCATTGCCTGGAAGTTCTCTTACTGTCTCAGCCCCCCAAACAAAATGTTCATGAACTGTTTGCCGTTCTTCTAATACTGTACAGCCTAGAGATAAGTTATTCTCACTTTAGCTGAGCATAACACGCACACTCTCTGTATGTTGTGTTTAGCAAAGGAAACGTGCCATTGATGGAAAGTCTCTAGTTAGATGGGTAATGATTTTCCCCCATTCTAGTTTCTAGGAATATAGGATTGCTGGTAGACCTCATCAGGCTGTGCCACGTTAGTCCTGGGAGGGTTTCTTGGCAGCTAAATCTGGATGCTTTAATACTTCTTTTAGCTACCTTATTGTGGATAACAGCAGAAGGAGCCCTACTCAGCTTCTTTAAAGATCATGGTCAGGAAAGCATCCATTCTAGATTGAGGCATGCTGTGTGCTGTGCGGTTAATGATTAATTTACAAAGCAGTGTCATAGCCACCCTATAGTAATTACCTTCGCTGCAAAGATTTCAATTTGAATAGACCCTAAAATATCGTGTTTGTTCCTCTTTCTTTAGAAAAGCCTTTATTCACTTGTTGAATTTACCTACTGGTTTCTCAGAGACAGACATGGTTACGGGCACAGTGGAAGGTTGGGTCTTAGAGGTGTAACTGAGTGTCGTGTGTTGTCTATCTCATGGCTCTCGGAACCCTCCTACCAGGGCCACCTACACCGCACCCCTCTTCACTGCCCCACAGATGCCTGCTCTTTCTATCTGGGTCCGCTATTGTACAAGTGCAAGGGCAGCTGTCCTGCAGGCTCTCGGCGGCTTTGACCTCAGGCTGTTCATGTTATTCAGTGATCTTCCCCAGCCGCTCCACGATTCAGACCTAGCACATCACTACAAACTCTCAGCTCCACAGCCGCTTGGGGAAAGGATTTGTAGGTGGCCCAGCACAGCCTGCAGAATTATGAACCATCTGAGAGGTGGCTCAGAGCTGGAAACTGTTTTCAAATTACGTGTCATTTACAGAATAAATTTGAAGGCTTCAGTATGCCACATTCTCTTTACTGTATTGCATTTGAATAACGAGAGCCCATCAAGCTGACTGGCTTTTTGTATCTCCCGAAACTTTTTTTTTAACCAGATACTTTAAAAAGGGCGGGGAGGGGGGGGGGGAGACGCCTGGGTGGTTTAGTCGGTTAAGCGTCCGACTTTCGCTTAGGTCACGATCTCGCGGTTCGTGGGTTCGAGCCCCGCGTCGGGCTCTGTGCTGANGACCCCTTTTCTGCCACCATCTTTAAAATTGTACCCACTTCCCTTCCCTTACTTCCTATCTCTCTCCTGACTTAGTTTTCTGTATTGCAGTTTTTACTGTCAGAAATACTATGTACTTACCTGTTCACCTGTTTGATAGTGATATCTCCCGCAGCAAAATCTGTCCCTGTGAGGGGCGCCTGGGTGGCTTAGTCGGTGACTTTCGCTTAGGTCACGATCTCGCGGTTCGTGGGTTCGAGCCCCGCGTCGGGCTCTGTGCTGACTGCCGGCTCAGAGCCTGGAGCCTGTTTCAGAGTCTGTGTCTTCCTCTCTCTCTGACCCTCCCCTACTCACGCTGTCTCTCTCTCTCTCCTAGAAATAAATAAAAATATTTTTTTAAGAAAGGGGGGGGCCAGGAGTGGTTTTCTGCCTCTGCTGTCAGGCTTCCTTATCTTGTGACATCCTGACCGGCAGTAGTGAGGCACATGCTATATGGGTGATGCTTACTGATGGTGCTGCCTGGGTTAGGGTTGGACAAAGGAGGTTTAAGGTGAGGGGCTAGAATGACAGGCAGAGAAGGTCTACTGCAAAGATGAAGAGTAGCCAGCCTTTGTTTGTATTTGCATAAGACCCAGAATGCCTCAAATTCTGGACTGTCTCTGCCTCTACTTACCTCTCCAGCGTCCTCCCCCACTGAAGACTCTCTTGAAGTCTTCCCTTCCCCTTTGAAGACTCCATTTTCTGGCTCTCCCCTGGCAGTTAGCAGCGACCTCCTCGATAGCCTTGCCATTCCTGGCATACACTCCTCCTGTGTCACTGTCCTATGGAATTGTAGTTGTGTGTTTGAAATTAGAACAGAGTTTGATGGTATAAAATAGTAGTCCTGTGGCAAGGACTCAGTGTGCACCAAATCACTCCCGCCCTAAAGCACGACAAAAAACAAACTTCCACTCCTCCCCCAACCTTCCCAAGGGAGGTATTAACATAAAGAATGCTGATAAATGGAAAATACCACTTTGTTATTAGCTCTCTGGTGAGCGGGGCAGCAGCACAGAACCCCTTTCCTCTGAGTCCAGACCCAGTCAGGATCTTCCCACGCTCCAAGCTGAGAGGGAGAAGAAGTGGCAGCCCCGGGGCTGGGTCAGCCATGCGGGTGCACAGCCACCCCACCCCACAGCCTAGTACCGGGTGAGGGAGCTGTCAACCAGAAAAGGCAACACTCGCGTCGTGGAATCAGACCATGAGCCGGAGGACGTGCTTGGGGTGGGAGGGACAGAGAGCCTTTCCATCTTCTAGGCTGAGTTCCTTGGAGGCAGGGACTCAGTTTTGTTCATCTTTATGTCCCCCGGTAACAGTTTGTGGCACACATTGGGCATTTCAAGTCTGTTATTTTGATTTCTAAATTAATAGTGAACGCAGACTATCTGAAACATATTTGACTTTGGGACAGTCTACCTTTGGGACATAGGGCATCATTACTACATTTTGTCCAGGGGGGTACTATATCCTCACTCCTGGAATGATCACGTCACACTAATTTTTCAGTGCTATTCGATGCACTGTAAACTGGGAAACTTAGAACACTAAGATCGCATTATGGGAAGATAGACACTCAGTCTTAGCGGAGGGCCCATCACTACATATAATGAATGGGACAGTGGTTCGAGCTGAAGTTTCAAGTATTCCACATTCATGACAAAATCGGGAAAAAGTGACTATAAGTTGCAAGAGGTGGTTGTGCAGAATTCCTGAGGTTCTTTATTTTGTGTATTTTAAGCACTTACTCAAAAGCACCATTTTCTCACTTGTTATGAACAGTATCTTGCGACACATCAACTGCGTTGTCTCTGCCCCTAAGGGTCAGAGTTCCCTAAATATAAGACAAAAAGAAAAAAGGAGAGAGCACAGGAGGAGTGGGGAGAAGGAAGGGAGGAAAAGAGGGAAGGCAGGACCAGTGAAGGAAACTGGGGGGAAAGGAAAAGGCAAGGGAAGAGGAAGGAGAGAGTTGGGCGGGGGGGAGGAGATGGACGTAGCCTGGGGACCCTTAGATACAGCAAGAGCCTCCAGGGGGAAGAAAATTCGAGTTGCCCTGGTGACGTTAGGCCCAGAAGGAAGAAAGACAGACTCCCGGAGAAGAGAATAAGATGTGCACGGAGGTATGAACATGAACAAGAATCCGTTTAGCCTCTTAAAATGGTCTCCCTACCTAACCTGTTAAAGCAAGGGTGAGAGTAAGAGCCTCCTGACTGATTGGAATTATTGGCATTGCTGCTGGAGGAGAGAAGTACAGCAATGCTAGTGAGATTCGTTTTCCACCTGGCTCTGCTTGACGTCAACATCTTGAGGGATGTGGGGGTCCGTGTTGGCAGCCTCTCACGTGCCACTTGCATTTTACCAGCTGTTCATTCTGGGCTACTCGGTGGTGGCGGGAGCCACGGGAAGACTTCTCTTCGGCTACGACAGCTTTGGCAACGTGTGTGGCAAGAAGAACTCCCCGGTAGAAGGGGCCCCTCTTTCAGGGCAGGACATGACGTTGAAAAAGTAAGTGTTCGAGTAAGTCCCCAACCTACAGGGGCCATACTGTATTTCAAAACTGCATAAATTTCCACTTGGAGCCTGGAAAATGTGTTCTCATTTAAAAGCATCGGCCCATCTCATAAAAAAGGAGGCCTGTGTGTGGGAGCCAAGACACAGGTTTTAGAATCAGCTCGTCCTCCATTTAAATTCAGCCGGTGCTAATTTTCGGCTCTGCGACCTTGGGCAGAGTCCTTAACTTCGCTTGACCAAGTTTTCATCTTTTCAGCTGGTTGTTACGCCCATCTCACAAGGTTATTTTAGGGATCCACTGAGATACTACATGAGCTAAGGCTTAATCTATGTTAGTGGCTACTGTTGTTGTCCATAATGTATCAGAATCATGTTACCAATTGATGTTGCCAGTTGCACACCATCCCCAGGGCTTTATCTATTTGGTAAATCCTGAATCCCACCTGGGAATTCTGGGAGCTCGTGTTCCACTCCGTCCCGCGTCTATGCTCTCAACTATGGCACTGCAGTGTCACTACCCCCCAAATCCAACCCAGAAACAGAAAAGGAAGAGTAGAGATAGGAATCGCCTGAGAGGCAAGAAAGCCGTGGTCATGATTTTTTTAACATGGAGACTGTGTTGTAATAATTTTTTAGACTTGATGATCAAAAGCCCCACTTAGGAGAGAATCTTGCAGTTCAGAATAGGTCCTGAGTGTAAGTTTGGAGTCACCAAATACAGTTCTCAGACCACGCCTCTTCTACCACTCAGTGATGCCCCTGAGGAGAGGGGCTCTGCACTGCCGGCTGTGGATCGCGTGGGCACATTTCCTCCTGCACTTGGGGGTCACTTAAAAAAAGGTAGAAGGGGCTGCCCAGATGCACACGTGCATGCTGTGAAATAGTCATCCTCTCGGAGATGGAAAGCATGTATTTTATTCTCAGGAGCCGACAGGTAGAAGCAGCCAGGTGTCCAGTCAGCAGGTGAATGGATAAACACAATGTTGCGTGTGTGTATAATGAGATATTAGTTGGTCTTAAAAAGGAAGGAAATGCTGACCCAAGGTACAACGTGAGTAAGTCTTGAGGATGTTAGGCTAAGCGAAATAAGCCAGCCACACAAAGAAAAAGACTTTGTGATCTCACTGTCTCAGCTGCCTACAGTGGTCAAATGCACAGAGACAGAAAGCAGAACGGTGGTCACCTGGCACAGAGGAGGCCTTGCTTCGTGGGGACAGAGTTTGTTTTTTTCGTGGTCAAGAGAGTTTTGTGGGTGAGTGGTGGGGATGGTGGCACAGCAGTGGGAATGTACTTAATACCACTGCACTCTACACCTAAAATGGTTAATAGGATAAAAATTGTATGTGTATTGTACCACAATTTCAAAAAATTAAACTGTGTATTTATCATAAACGTGGGAGATCTGTTCCCCCATCTCCTGTCACACGGCCTCCCTCTGTTCGGGCCCCCGCCCCCTCCCCAGGTCCCTCCCCTACAGGACTGCCTACCTGGCAGCTTCCAGGGCTCTCCCTCTGGAGTCCCTCTGAGCTCGGCAGCCTGGGGAGGCGATGGGCATGGTCTGGAGCTACCACCGCCCACCTGGCTCACGACCCTGCTAATGGCAACACCAGCTTTGTTCTCGGCCCCGTCTACCCACTGGTGGAACAGCTGGAGTGGGAAGGATCTCAGGAGTTTCCTGGCACTCAAACTGGCAGGCAGGGGGGACGGGCAGGCTTTTAATTCACAGCTGGGGCCTCCCCCTGTCTACTTCTCACTTTCCTGAGGTCAACTATTCTCTGAAGGATAGCTGAACACTCAGGTGTAAATATGCCTTCCATGGACTTCACTAGTAGTTTATGTACTGGCCTGATTGAGCATTCCATGGACAGTTCAGTCAATCCTTTCCCTTCCTTGACACCTTCTTCAGATTGCCCCTTAGTGTTCTCTCCCAGGGAAGGCTGAATCTGGAAAAGGGAAGTTTTGTTAGTATTTGAGCATGGTTCCTATGCTGCGCAGTTCCACAGATGACCACCAGTAAGCATAATACATGGTAAATTAGGCTGAGGCATTTGGCTATAAAAGTTTGCCTTAATTATTCCCACATTTGATAACATGGGTTTTTTTTTTAAATTATGTTTATTTTTGAGAGAGAGAGAGACAGAGCATGAGCAGAGGAGGGGCAGAGAGAGGGAGACACAGAATCCGAAGCAGGATCTAGGCTCTGAGCTGTCAGCACAGAGCCCAAAGTGGGGCTTGAACCCACGAATTGCAAGATCATGACCTGAGCCAAAGTCAGATGCTTAAGTGACTGAGCCACCCAGGCACCCCAATAGCATGGGTTTTTTTAAGGCCTATAATTAAACCCAATGAGAGGAAACGCTCTAAGATAGTGTTTGATCTGTTTCCTAGACACGTATTCTTTATGAATTCCTGCAACCTGGAAGTCAAGGATGTGAGGCTCAGTTCCACCATCCTGTGTGTGTCCCACTGTCCTGAAGAGCAGCTTGATACCCTGGAAGAGGTCCAGCTCTTTGCAGACAACAATGGTAGGCACCAGGGCATGGGGCTCACTCTTCCCCCGATGGCAGGAAGCACAGCGGGCTGACCTGTGCAGACCTCGATGAGACAGCTCACTCTGGCACTGCTTTCTCTGGAAACCATCCTTGCCTGTGGTGGCATCTCCTTGTGTGCAAGAGGCCACTAGTGCTTTCTCCTGGGCCTTGTGCAATTTCATTCAGGTTTATCTGGAATTTATCTGAAACCCTAGCTATTCTCTGCTCACTGCCAGGGAATGGTCTTCCATACAGAGCATAGTGTAGACTGACATTTAGGGCCCAAAGGCAGGGGCAGATGGAGGTCAGAGAGCTCTGTGCACAGGGCACCTTCCATCCTGGAGAGGGGCTGCCAGCTTTGCCATGAACTGCTGACAAGTGTGTTCTTTCGTTGCAGCGTTGGGGCCCGTGGACACTTGCACTAACCGTTTATGTAACTGAAGTACCTTGCCCTGAGCCTGCTCATGAGATTTATGTTATAAGGATTAAACAAGCAAAGGAAAGTAAAAGAAATTCCAGGCAACCCGCTGCAAATTCTATCTGCCTGTGAAATGATGTGCTAGAGTTTTAAAAAAATTATTTGCAGGTCCTGGTTAAAAATATCAAGCCTATGTAATAAATCATTTCCCAAGAAATCTTTGAATAGTTTTTGTGCCAGTAGTTTAACTTTTGATTTTGAAATGAGATTTAGGAGAGATGATAGAAAGAGAGAGAGAACCTAATCTGATCTCAAGTTAGATGCTTATTCTTATTATGTTTAAGTCATTTATAGACTTGTTTTCTAAATCTGAGTGATTTATTCCATTTCCTTCCTGGTTTGGTAAAAGAATGATAGTTTTCTTACTGCCCCTCCCCACCCTTGGAAAGATGGGCACCGTGTAGGGGGATGGTAAAGTCTGTGTTTTCTGCTTCCAGGGTCCTTCCTGTGTGTTTACAGTTTGAATTCCATCAACTACACCCAGAATCCAAATGCAGACTCATTATGTCCCAAACTACCAGTTCCTCCAAGGTAAAAAGCTTCCATATTTTTTCTTTATCTATTGACAGAAGTTACGGGGTCCTTGCATCTGTTGCTCTTGTGGGTATTGTTGGAAACCAGAAGGAGATACCTGGTGGAGCCCTGCGGTCTACAGAAGGCCAGGGATACACAAGGAGGAGCTATTTGCACCACACATAATGGACAGTGGATTAGGAACCAGGCTAGGCAAGGAGGAAACTCACCACTAGAAATACACATAGTCAGAAAATGACAAACACTAGAGCTTAGCAGAATTAGTATGTGAATCAGGAACTGAGAGGTTTTATAAAGTAGCTTTTTTTTCTACTGCAACTATTTATTACAAAGTAGAAAGTTTTTTATTGCAACCAGACATTGTTAGTTTTTACAACTCTAGATGTCTCCATAAGAAACAGACCCATATGGGCAAGGCCAAGTGGTCACTACCTGCACCTGCTCAGTGAGGACAGAAAACAGGTGCTTCTCAAGGATCCTACTTGTGAACTCCTTTTAGAGTCAGCCATTCCTATCAACTGGTGTCATACCCGGCACATAGGAGGCACCTTACAAACATTTGCAGAACAGAGCTGTACTGATGAGGCAGCAGTTGTATTGTAAATGGCTCACATTTGAGCCATCGGGAAAGGTAACAGAGAAAACACAATTACTAATGATCGCCACCGTCAGGATGCTGAGATGTTCTGAGGGAAGACTTGGTTTGTTTTGCATTACCATTCTTTTCAAAGTTATAAATATATATATAGTGAATGAGACCTCTGTGCAAGAGCCCTGAGAAATAATGATAATTGAAGTAGAACAAGGCACTGGGCCAACTGTCCAGTACAGTGTTTATCAAACTCTTGGCTGGGACCCACAGTAAGATATGTATTCTGTCACCACCCAGTACTGTATACATATACCTTCATGCATCCTTGTGAGTATAAAACAGAAGTACAAGTCTGACCGCACAAGATTTCCCCTTACTGCAAAGGATCCATCCTAAGAGTTTCTATTCTGTTTCACTTTTTAAAAACATCAATTTATTTCACCATCTTCTAAAGGGCTGCAAGAATAACTTGAAAAATGCTGATCTAGCAGGTATTAAAAAAACCAAAAACTCCAGTAGATTTTAGCTACATAGAAGGAAAGAGTATAGTTAACCATTCTCTTGGCATTCTTTTCTAAAATAAATACTTTGTGTTACAATAACTGAAAGAGGAGAAACTTATTTGCAGAGGAGAGGCCCACTGCATTTTTCTGTGCCTTATTTTTTAAATTCTGAGTCTTGTCAGATATCAAAAACATCTCTCAGAGAAACATAACTAAAGCAAAAAAATAAAAACTACAGTGGTTTAGTAGGTTAAAGGAAAAATACTTAACGCTTATAGAGAAGGCTTTTTTTTCCTTTTAACTTTATACACTTTGACCATCATTTTGCCATTTCCCCTCCGCCAGGCCCTGGCCAACAGCACTCTACTCTCTGCTCCTGTGACATTGACTGTTTTAGATTCCACATATAAGTGAGGTCATCCATTATTTGTCTTTTGAGAAGATTGTTTTAAGGAACACCGTTTGTAAGTGTGCCTGCAAAAGGAATTGGAAGAGAAGGGAATTTTTCAGGTTGTGACTCAACCAGAGGTAGTAGATAAATGCTTATTATAAATGGGATGGCGGCTGTAATTCCATGGGAGGCTTTTATCTTGATGCTGCTGATGATAATAGCATTTATTGAGCTTTTGATACTTGCCAGGTACTTTTCTAAGCTCTTGACATGTATTCATTTATCTGGACCTCCCCAAACCACTGTGCCATAGGCATTGTCTTCCTCCCTCTTCTATGGTAGAAAAAACTCGTGCAGGAACAGGTTAAAGCGGCATAGGCAGCAAGTGGAAGGGCTGGCATGCAGACCCAAACAGGGTTTGTTTCTGTAATCCAAAACCAACACTTAAGGCTTTGTTGGTGTTATTTTGCCTGGCAGATGGCCTCCTTGGGTGCACACCAAGGTGGGGGGGGGCATACCACGTCTCCTCGGGTCCCCATTTTTCCACCTGTCATGCCTGTCCTAGGTCTTTCACCCCCCAAATGCAGACCTCTGCTTGGAAAGACAAACCGGTTGGTTGGCCTTTCTCGGACAGTCAGGGAGAGAGAAATCGCCTTGAGGGCTCCATTTCCTTTTCCTACACAAGCAAGAGTTTGTTCTAAGATGGAAGTTATCACACTTATCACAGAAGAGCAGTGCCAAGAGTGAAAGCTTGAAATCATGAGAAGTGTGGCTATAGGGCCAAAGAACATTTTCTAAATACCTCTGTTGACTAAACCAATTGTTTCTCCTCCCTCTGTCGATCCCGTGAGGTGTAACATACCCTTTTAGAGCAGTGGCTGAATATCAAGAAGGTTTGTGTCCCGAGCTATGAGCTTTTAAGAGCAGTGAAAAAAATACTGCAGAAGATAACAAGCAAGCCTACCTTTTTCCCTTTGGGGTTCCACATAATATTGTATTTTGAGTCCCGCATGTATTTAAAATCCAAAAGGCTTGGGTTTTTCCATCAAGTCAGTTCTAGTCCTCCCCTCCCTCATGGTTCCCCGTGCTTATCACTGCGTTGTCTGTGCAGATGAATTCCAACAGGGTCATCGAAACATACAGTCTACAGTCGGCTCTTCGAATTACTTCCTGCAAATCCAAGTGGTTTTGCTGGTGAGAGAGGAAAAGGAGAAGTGGGGAAGAAACCACAGTCACACCCCCAACCCTAGCTAATCAAGTCCTTAGCAGGCAACTGGTCAACCACGCATACTAGGGGTGGCCCACACTTTATGTGCTTCTCTGTCACTCTCAGGGCTGAGATGGGTCATTCTTTACCAGCACAGGGTTATTAAATGCCTGAAAAGCGCCCTCTTAACAAAACTTGTTGACAAAATTCTTATGGAAAATTGTGTTTGGGGGAAAAACAAAATGATGTTAGATTTATACCTGTCCTTATTTTTCAGAAATACTAACTGAAAGTTCAGAAAACATTTGTTCTGAAAACAATTCAGATTCATTGGTATTAGACTGTTTAGTAATAGAAAAGAAAAAAAATTAGAGAGGTTTAAAACTTGGAGAGCAGGAGGTAAAATTACTCTGCAAGTGGTAAGAAGACTGGCTGAAAAACTACATATGATAAGAGAATTTATTTAGGTGACAGGGAACACGACTGAAAAACTGAAGTCTGCAGCATTCCTACTTTTTTTGCAAAGACAGCTTTTACCACAATGAGAAGAAATTAAAAAAATGAACTGGGTACATTAGTGCCTAGAAACAAATTTAACAAGAAATGTACAAGAATCACAAAAAGAACACTTTATGACATCATTTTTTTTCAAAATTCTATTCAAATTCTAGTTATCATACAATGCAATATTGGCTTCAGGAGTAGAATTCATTGACTCATCACTTACATACAACACCCAATGCTCATCATAACAAGTACCCTCCTTGGTACCCATCACCCATCTAGCCCATCTCCCTTCCACCTCCCTCTTTGAACCCTCAATCTATTCTCTAAGACACTCACACGGTTGGTTTCCTTCTCTCTCTTCCCCCTTCCCATACGTTTATCTGTTTTGCTTTTTATATTCCACATATGACTGAAATCATATGGTATTTCTCTTTCTCTGACTTATTTTGCTTAGCATGTACACCCTAGCTCTATCCATATTGTTGCAAATGGCAAGATTTCATTCTTTCTGATGGCTGAGTAATATTCCACTGTGTGTGTGTGTGTGCGTGCACGTGCGCGCGCGCACGCGTGTAGTGTGTGTACACGCCACATTTTCTTTATCCATTCATCGGTTGATGGACATGTGGGCTCTCTCCATAGCTTGGCTATTGCTGATAATGCTTCTATAAACAAGAGGTGCATATACCCCTTCAAATCTGTAATTTTGTGTCCTTTGGGTAAATAGTAGTTCAATTGCTGGACCATAGAGTAGTTCTATTTTTAACTTTTTGAGGAACCTCCATACTGTTCTTCAGAGTGGCTGCACCAGTTTGCATTCCCACCAACAGTGTAAGAGGCTTCCCTTTCTCTGCATCCTCATCAACACCTGTTGTTTATTCTGTTGTTAATTTTAGCCATTCTGATAGGTATGGTGTGGTATCTCATCGTGGTTTTGGTTTGGCTTTTTTTTTTTTTTTATAGTAAGGTTGAGCATCTTTTCATGGTTCTGTTAGCCACCTGGATGTCTTCTTTGGAAAAATGTTTATTCACATCTTCTGCCCATTTCTTAACTGGATTATTTGGTTTTTGGGTGTTGAGTTTGCTAAGTTCTTTATAGATTTTTGGACACTAACCCTTTATCAAATATGCCATTTGCAAATATCTTCTCCCATTCCATAGGCTGCCTTTTAGTTTTGTTGATTGTTCCCATAGCTGTGCAGAAGCTTTTTATTTTGATGAAGTCCCAGTAGTTCATTTTTGCTCCTATTTCCCTTGTCTCAGGGACATACCTAGTAAGAAGTTGTTATGGCTGATGTCAAAAAGGTTACTACCTGGGTTCAGATCTCGGGTACTGATGGTTTCCTGTCTTACACTTAGGTCTTTCATCCATTTTTATTTCTGTATATGGTGTTGGAAGGTGAGCCAGTTTCATTCTTCTGCATATTGCTGTTCAGTTTTTCCAATACCATTTATTAAAGAGACTACCTTTTTTCTATTGGATATTCATTCCTGCTTTGTTGGAGGTTAGTTGACCATGGAGTTGTGGGTCCATTTCTGAGTTTTCTATTCTGTTCCATTGATCTGTGTGTCTGTTTTTGTGCCAGGACCATACCGTCTTGATGACTACGTCTTTGTAACATGGCTTGAAATCTGGAGTTGTGATGCCTCTGGTTTTTTGTTTTTGTTCTTTGGGATTGCTTTGGCTATTGGGTTCTTTTGTGGTTCCATACAAATTTTAGGATTGTTTGTTCTAGTTCTGTGAAAAATGCTGTGGTATTTTTTTTAAATTTTTTTAAAAATGTTTTATTTATTTCT